CCTGGGCACACTGCTGGCTCATGTTTAGGCAGCTGTCAACCAACACCCCCAGGTCCTTTTCCGCCAGACACCTCTCCAGCCACTCCTCCCCCAGCCTGTAGCGTTGCATGGGGTTGTTGTGACCGAAGTGCAGGACCCGGCACTTAGCCTTATGCGGTGCTTCGCAGAATGACAGAACCCTAGTGAAGTGTTACAACAGAAAAACTGTGCTGAGGAAAGGCAGCAGGCCAGATCTACAAAACTTAAGTGGGACCATTTGCCTCCCTGACCAGCAGAACTCCTTAAGTACTACATTTAGTAGGCACTCAGGTATGTCTATAAGACTTTCTGTACGGAGACACGAGCACACGCTCTGAAAGGGCAGACACTCTTGTCGCATCAGTTGTTGTGCTGTGGTACATTCACTTAACTTGGCTTTTAGCAGGCTAATTCACTCTGGCTCAGCGCTTGCATTAACTTGTCCTGATATAGGCTCCAATCTGGAGCTGACCCACCTCTGGCCAGCTAAAAGCACAGGCAGATCTGCTGGTGTTTGCCTGCTAAGCACCGTGTGCGTCTTCCTGAAGCTTTGCTTGTGAGACCCCTTGTGCAAACTTTCAACTCAAAGAGAGACAGTAACTACTGAGAAACAAACTTAGGACTAAGATTCAAAAACCAACCTCAGGGTGAGATCTGCATTTCTCCAAGGCGTCTCCGTAGATCTTACTTGGACTAGAAGAAGAGAATAGCTCTTTAAAAATCACATAGAACAAACCACCTGTAACAGAAACAACAGCAAATGGAATGAAAACTAATCAAATCAGATGGAATTAATGAAAAGTGTCTTCTGATAAACAATGTAATTTTTAAAAATAACCTGTAACACCAATTCCAACAAGCACCACAATAAAATAGGTAAAGTCTCTTCCAGCTTCTTTCACTGAAATAAACAGAAAACAATGCAGGAGTTACAATCTTGGACAGTAAGACTTGCATAGCTTTCTTACATAAATGTTCTTCTATTAGTCTGCAGCTCAAATAACATTTTGGCAGAAGAAAAAATTCGAACAACAGCTTCCATAATGCCTCATCACTAAAAGAAAGAGACCATGGAATGTCTCTTATGTTGTGCAGGGCATATATTTATCTCTGTATTAAGCCTTATTATTTTCTGTTTTCCTACTAGATGTTTTCAAGACTCAGAACAGCATTTACTGCTACTTTTCGTGTACATGACAGCTAGGGTTTTTTTAAGAACTAATGAGGTATCTAGCACTGCAGTATTCAAGCTATCATATAAACCCACAATCATTGCAATACTTACACAGAGAAAGGGAGAAGTAAAAATAAAAAAGTGTAAGCTTATAAATTGCACACACTGACTGAAAATAACTGATTTTATGAATTCTCAATCAATTGAACAATAAAAAGGAGGGATAGGAGACCAAAATACGTATTTTATTTGTTGAGACTGTTAACTGCAGTTTATCTGATTAGTTTTTATGTGTTGGTTTTGATCTAATGTACTAGTAAAAGTGTCAGTATACACTCCAAAAAAGTCGTATGAGATTCTCTGTTACAAAATATTTTTGAGAACTTGGAAAGACTACTGATTTAAGTGATAACGTGTGCCTTTCAGTGAAGTACAAGTTACCGAGAAAACTTTAATAACCATTTTCCCTGCAGCCTTCTAATCAGTTGAGGATGTTTTTCATAAAGCCTTTCAAAGCACTTACAGTTTCTGAGGCTAATTACATAGTAATCACTTTTCACTGAAGTGAATGAGACCAACCAAAGTGATAGCCATCCTATAAAGAAACTAGTACCACATGTAGAGCTTTGACAATTTTGCTGGAAGTAAACTTGTTTTAACAGCATCGAGACGGGTTGTGTGTGGCGGGTTTTCCTTTTGAAAAGGGAAATGAGAGGCTACTACATCTTATCCCTGATGTGACCTAAACACCAAATCAACAAGCTGCTTGGACGAAGCCACAGAATTTCCGTTCTGTTTGTGCAATACGTACACTGAAATGTATCAACTGCTGCAAACAAGATGATATGAATAGAAAAGGGCCTGTTGGTTTTCCGACAATTGTGGGTTTTTTCTAATTCCCGAGTTTTGGGGCTCTCAAATCTCCGCTGCAGCAGTAACTTTCCCCGTGCCAGCCTGTCTGAGCAGCGCTCAGCATTGCACTCACGAGTGCCTACAGCCCGGCTTACCTCTCTGAGCAGCCGACAGCCGAGTTTCTTCTTTCCCACCCCTCTGCACGGACACATGCTTGCTATTATCGCCAGGTTTTTCAGCTCTCAGCCCCCCGGCTTGCGTCCCGATGCTCTGCCGGGCGGCCCGGAGCAGCGAGGCGGGCTGGTGCCGCCACCTCAGGCAGTGCCCCGGTCCCGGCCCCGGCCCCAGCCCCGCCAGCGACCAGCCGGGGGGAGCGAGCAGCCACCTCCCCAGGACGACCCGCAGCCCCTCGCCGCGCTGCCCCGCCCGCGCAAGGGAGGCGGGCAGCATGCCCGGCCAATCTGTGTTCTCCCTCCCTGATTAAACACCATAATACCCAGCCGAATAATCCGAGTTGAATAATCCTTCCAAATCAATATAAGTACCACTGCCCGGTTTAGTCCCTCCCGTCCTGCCGAGAAAGCCCAAGCTTTATCCCCGCTCCGGGAAATACCGTGAGTAACCTCCTAACGTGCTGCTGCACAGCTCCAGCCAAAGCCTGTAACACCCTGCCTGCTCCGGCACCGGTGCCGGCGGCCGGCCGCCCCGGGCAACCCCCGCCCGGGCGGGGGGGGGCCCCCCCGGCCGTTAAACGGCGGGGGCTGCTCGCGGCGTCGTGCGCCTGCGGTCCCGGTCGCCCTTATTAAGCTGTTTTTATTTTTCAAATTGTTTTTTGATCTCGCACGCATAGGTGCGCAAAAGCCATGCAGTTGACGTTTCCGCGAAGGGAGAGCAGAACACCTGAGAGGACCGTGCTCCGGCTTCCCGGGGAACGGCGCACCGGCGCGGAGCTCGCTGTGGGGCGGGGGAGGGCGGGGAAGCTGACAGGCCGCCTGCCGGGGGTCCTGCCGCGGTATTAACGCTGTCCGCGTGCCCCACGCCGGACTGCTTGGGAACCCAACGCCGCCGGGGCGGGCGCGGCAAGGTGCAGCGCTCATCCTCCGGGGCCGTCCTAACCCGGGTCCACCCCGCTGGCGTATCCGGCGCCGACTGGAAGCTCCCGGGGGAGGCGGTGTCCCTTCTCTACAATTAAACTTCTTAGGTGCTAACACGAGTTCCCGCAGGCTGCCTTCCCCGCGGGCAGGAGGG